GAGCAGGGAGCCCGATGCGGGACTCGATCCAGGGACTCCAGGATCATGACCTGAGCCGAAGGCAGTCGCTTAACCAACTGAGCCACCCAGGCGCCCTATGTTTAAGATTCTTAAGATTCTCAAAATCCCTCCATTTGGGGATTTTTGGTGTCACTAGACTAGAGGCCTTCATTTGCCCCATCCTCATTATGCCCACTGGGCTGTGAGCCACAGGCAGATTCTTATACTGCTGAAAGCCCAACAATGGAATAGACTGCCCAGGTCTGCAGCCTAGAGATTGTTTTAAAAATGTGTGAAATCTCACTTTCAGGCACAGGGCCAGCAGCTGTACAGTGTGTTTTAGTTATCCATTGCTGAGTAATTACCCCTGAATTTAATGGATTAAAATAATAAACATTTATTATTTCACACCATTTCTGAGACTCAGGAATCTGAGAGTAGCTTAGCTGGGTGGTTCTCCAGAGGTTGCGGTCAAAATGTTAGGTGGAGTAGTAGACATCTGAAGGCTTGACTGAGGCTGGAGAACCCATTTTTATATATCTCTTGGTAGGAAGCCTCAGCTCCTTGCCACATGCACCTCTACATAGAGCTGCCTGAGTGTCCTTACGCCATGGCATCCTCAGGAATGAGTGATAAAGATAGCAAGAAGGAAGCCACAATGCCTTTTATATCCTAATCTCTCTCGGGATGTTACACATCATAACTTCTACTCATTCTCTTCACTGGAAATGAGTTACTCTGTATAGCCTCAAGGGAGGGAGGAATTAGATTCCACCCTCTGAAGGGAGGAGTATCAAAGAATGTGTGGACATATTTTAAATCACCACCAGGTAATACCTGAATAGCACTTGGTAATACAATTACCAGGGCATGCAAAAGAGTGTTGCCTCTTGGTATCCTCTAATTTCCATTTCTTTGTGATTAAAAGAATTAAAATACGGTCTTTTCTCAAAGTGGAAAGTCATTCCAAATTTTGGCACATCTTAGATACATGGCACATCATGACTTGGCCCTTGCCTCTCCCCAATCTCTTTAACATTGCTCTCTTAGGCCTCTTACTATAGTCATCTTGACTACTTGTAGTTACCCAAATCCACCATACTCTAACTTACTTCTGGGCCTTCACCCCTGCTATTTCCTCTGCTTAAAATACTTCTACATCCCCACTATTTGCATGACTTATTCCTGCTCAGTTTTCATACTTTGGCTAGAACTGATCTTTTCTAAAAATTAGCCCCTTCTCTAGACAAGATCAGATGTCCATTTTATATGCTTCTATACATTCTGTATATGTATTTGCCAAAATATCTACTATTATACCCTAATTATTTGTTCCATATTTATAACCTCCTCCCCAGATTGTGAACTTCTTAAATAAAAAAAACAATTGTATTCATTTTCACATTTTCAGTTACTAGAATAGTGGCTGGCAAATGGAAATTGTCCAATAAATGTTTATAACAATGAATGGATGATTGGATAAATGAATTTGCTAATGAATGAATAAATAGCCTATCTTAAAAATTTTCCCCTCAATAGACCCTTATTTTAAATTTTTTTCTTTTTAATTTTAAATAGGGCTCCACACCCAACATGGGGCTCAAACTCACAACCCTGAGATCAAGAGTTGTGTGCTCTACCAACTGAGCTAGCCAGGTGCCCCTGAATAGACTCTTACTATTCAAGAAAGTGGGGGGAAACTCTCCTCCTCTCTTTTCTACCACACGGTCCTCTGTATCTATTCAGGTTAATACCAGTGTTAGTATTCCAGTTCTATTGTTGACTTAAAGAGGCTTTTTGTGGGTTCATTACCATTCCTACAGTATATTAAGTGACACGCATTCTGAATTGTGTAAAACTGACACATGAATCAACATCCAACAGAATACTACTTGGTGATAGTTCTGTAAATTCATATGCCTAAAAAAATTTATAATAATAGATTTACATTTTCCTTTGTTGTCTTCAATTACAGAATTGAATGTCCTAATAAATTTAAGATGTAGGACTTCTGGAAATTTGCAAATTGGCAACCCAAGCCCACATGTCAAATATCCTTCCCTTCCTGAGTCCCCACAATGCAACCAACAGAATGGAAGAAATTTTATATCACTACTAGAAACGAAATAAAGCAAAGTCTTAACTTATACTTGAATTTTCAAGAAATTTCAGCAAAAAAAGGGCACTTGAGAATACAATCAGGTTAAGTAATACTTGGCCATCATTCACAAAGACAGAGCCTACCATGAAAAGGAAAGGAATTTAAGCTGACCTCAGAGCCTGATCAACATCTCCTAGACTACACTGAAGATAAGCCAAAGAAACAACTCAAACAAACCTTAGACCTGCTGGAACCTCTAAGCAGCACATGGAAAGACCACAAGGAAAGGGGATCCTGTAGCCTGATCACAATCTACATGCAAAGGTTGTAGGTAGGTGGATGGCCTGTGAACGTGTTAGCACTTGCCAGGCAATTTCCTGGAGATCAGTCTGCTACCTGTAACTATCTCAGAGCCACAACAGCCAACAGAAGAGAAATTTCTCAAACGTGGCACACTGGTCAAATATTTGCCTCCCTCTGCCAATGGCTCTGTCCCTAACTTGCATAAATCCTTGGGTCTCTACACTGACAAAGAAAAAAAATTACAATAAATCCAGAGGTTTCCCTTCTCTTTTTACTAAGGATTACAAGAAATGAAGACTACACAATATGGCAACACATGTGTCCTGAGAATTGATATCTATGTCACTCAGACATTTGTGACTATGAGAAGTAAATATATATATACAAAACTCAAAACCATAATAACAAAAAGACAGATTTAAGCACATAAAAATTAGTATCTTCTAAATACTAAAACCATTCAGGGATGACTGGCTGGCTCAGTTGGTAGAGCATGTGACTTTCAATCTCAGGGTTGTATGTTCGAGCCCCATGTTGGGTACAGAGATTACTTAAAAATAAAATCTTTTTTTTTTTAAGATTTTATTTATTTATTTGACAGAGACATAGCGAGAGAGGGAACACAAGTAGGGGGAGTGGGAGAGGGAGAAGCAGGCTTCCCGCCGAGCAGGGAGCCCGATGCAGGGCTCGATCCCAGGACCCTGGGATCACAACCCAAGCCGAAGGCAGACTGAGCCACCCAGGCACCCCTTAAGAATAAAATCTTTAAAAAGAAAATACTAACACCATTTAGAAAAGATGACAAAAATCTGCAATATGTCTAATAAAGATTATAATATCCAACATATATAGAAACTGCTTATTAATCAGTTTTTAATCAATCACAAACATACATATCAATACAAAACAACCTACACAGGAGAACAATGGAGTAACCAATTTATGATAAAAACCAAAACACATGAATATTTAAACATGAAAAAATAACCTGCCTCACTAGAAATTAGGAGAAACGTAAATTAAAAGATACTATTTTTTGGTCCTTTAAATTCTAAAAACAGTACTGCCCAGAACTGATTATAACATAAAGAAAAGGGTATCAGATATAATTGATGATTACACACTTAAAGCCTTCTCAGAGGGCAATTTTGCAGTATCTCTTCACATGTAAAATCCAAGCTCAGTTCAAGAAATCTACCCTACATAACTACATCTTTGCACAAAAGTTACAAAATATATATGGTCAGGGATGTTCACTACAGCATTGTTAGAAATGGAGGAGGGAAAAATCCAAACTTCCCTCAATAATAACATAGTTAAATAAATAATGGTATATCCTTAGTGTACAATATGATTATTGTAAAAGATGTGACAGATCCATATATTCTGGCAAAAAAGATATTCAAGGTATATTGTTGAGTGAACAAATGAATGTATTTTTACAGAAAAATACACTGGAAAACATTCATTGTTAAAAATATATACACAGTTAAATATGCCCTGTATACAGATATTAGTAATAGTAATAAAACATTCTGAAGGGGTAGTCACAAAACTATTAATAATGGCTATTTGTGAAGAGAAAAATGGGACTTAAAGAGACATTGAAAAGGGTGGATATGAAGATGGGCTTTTCAATTTTATTCCAAATTTTGCTGTATTGAATTTTAACAAGTATATATTCTTTATTAGTTGCAAAATTAAAAAAAATAACTTTGAAAAGTAGACAAATATATGCCCAAATGTTAACAGTACCTACTTTGGAACACAGAGTTTCTTGTGATTTTAATTTTCATTTTGTTTTATTGTATTTTGTAATTCTGTAATGATTATATATTAATGATATGTTTAAGTACAAAAATAATTTTTTTCTTTAAAAGTATAATATTGTTTAAAATGTCTTGATACATTTACACAATCTATGCACATTTAAACTACAATGTAAAGAAACTGGTAAGTCTCGGGCGCCTGGGTGGCTCAGTTGGTTAAGCAACTGCCTTCGGCTCAGGTCATGATCCTAGAGTCCCTGGATCGAGTCCCGCATCGGGCTCCCTGCTCGGCGGGGAGTCTGATTTGCCCTCTGACCCTATCCCCTCTCATGTGTTCTCTCTCATTCTCTCTCTCTCAAAATGAATAAATAAAATCTTTAAAAAAAAAAAAAAAAAAAGAAACTGGTAAGTCTCACATTGGAAAAACAAGGTGGCCGGTAGATGAGGAAGAGACTTTTTACTGAATCCCCTTTGTGCCTTTTCCTATTTGCATGTATCAGCTATTTAGAAAAGTAAGTAAAATTATACACAAATATAATCCCCTCTCCTGATATATATAGTAGCTACTTCTTAACAAAAGTTCAGGTTTGATTTCTATTTACTGATATAGCAAAAGCTCATGATACACTGGTAAGTGAAAAAATATACAATGACACTATTGATCCAATTTCATTTTATAAAATATGAGTATATATGCTTAGAAAAAAAGTCTGTATCAGTGGCTCAATGATTGCCAGGGCCTGAGGGTGAAGAATATAACTTAGTGCAAAGGGGCATGAGGGAAATTTTGGGATGATGGAAGGATTCTATATCTTGATTTAGGGGTAGTTATATAGCTATATGCTTTTTAAAAGGTGAATTTTATTAGTAAATGTAAATTATAGCTCAATGACTCTGACCCCATCCACCACCACCAAAAAATGTCCATATGGCTATATACCAATATGTCAAAACAATAACAGATTATTGTGGTAGATTAGATTATTGCTCAAAAAGATTCACTCTCTCACTTCCCACTTCCATGGGAGTCCGTTTCTCTGTTCCACGGTTGTTAGACTTGGTCATATGATTTGCTTTAGACTTATGGTAGATCAAGTGCACTTCCTTGACTTTTGCCTTTGAGTTTAGCCATATTCTTGTAAGCTTGGGCTCATTCTCTTGCATCTCTGTCAATACCATGAGAAAAGTTTCCCCAAGTGGCTACTGTCCCTTCATCCTGGATCTTAAAAATGAATACACATGGAGCAGATCAGAGCCCTCCCCACAGCAACCAGCAAACCCAACCAGTTCTGTAGTGTGAAGAAAAGCTGTACAGCCAGGCCCAACCAACCCACGGAGGCATGAGAAATAAATGTTTATTGTTGAATGACACTAGATTGTGTGGTTGTTTGTTATGCAGCATTATTGTGACAATAGTAATTAATATATTATCTCTGGGTAAGAGAGTAATAGAGACTTTTAACCATTCTTCGTATTTTTTCTACTTACTAGGTATTTCAGCATGTATTACTTTTATAATCTGAAAAAAAAGCTTTTGTGAGAAAAATAAGATACAATAAAAGGTAATTTATATATACATACTGTTTTAAATGATCATTGGCAAGAGCCATTCTATCTCTGCGTCGTTTTTCTGCTCTTTCTTGTTCTTCTTTAAAAGCTTTTTCAATGCTGAGTTTCAATTGTTCTTCCCATTTTTTATCTGATTTTATTTTTTTCTTTTGGAATTCAATCTGTGCATCACGTTCTTTCATAACTCTACTAAGAAGAAGTCCTGACTACAAAAAAAAAAAAAAAATTGTGGCATTTTAAGAAAATAAAGTCTATTATGTATAGATACGTTAAATATACAGAAAAATACAAGAAAACCCAAGTAGTACATGAAAGTGTTTCACTCTTTCTGTCTGGTAAAATTGATATTGCTTTGCAAATTCAATAGCCTTTTTTCTTTCTCCTTGTTTGTGTATTTCTTCCTCTATATCAAGAATTTGTCTTTCTGCCTCTATTTCTTCATCACGCTTCTTTTTGGCTTCGAGTTTCTGTTCTTTCATCCCCTAAAAAAAAGAAAAAAATCAGTCTTCTGTTTTTGCTTTTCAACTTAATTTCACAAAATTTAACATTACATATGAAATAATTTGAGCTTTCATTATGAGTTTTTATTGTAGTTGTATATATCATTAATAAATAAAATATGTTACACTTATAAGCTAATAATTTAATTGAATTTTTGGGTAGGTAACATGTTTACATGGTTCAAAACTCCAAAATATTGTAAAGGTATACAGGGAAGCTCTCCCTCTAATCCTAACTTCCATCAGCAATCTCAAAGATAACCACTATTATCAGTTTCTTATATTTGCTTCCAAAGTTCCTTTCCATATTTATATAAATATATATATTACTATTTTTATTCCTTTAAAAAAATCAACAGTAGCATGTTTATATGCTCTTCTACACCTATGAGGAATCTATCCAATGTATCATTTCAGATGAAGTCTCTCTTCTCCTCTACAGGTCATACTTTCTATGTCTTAAGAAAACCTTACTTTACCCTAAAATCCTGAAGATATCCTATATTTTAAATTTTTACTATTTTAGTTTTCACATCTGGGTCTTTCATCCAGCTGAAATTCATTTTTGTATATTCTATACCATAAGGATATAATTTCATCTTTCCATATGCCAATTACCTCAGTATTAGTTATAGAATACCCAATCCTTTCCCTTCTGACTTGACTGACATTTGTCATATGTCAAGTTCCCATATATAACATGTGAGTGTTTCTAGGCTCTCTCTTCTGATTATTTTGTCAATCTCTGTGCCTATAAAACAGTTTTTACGACTACATTTCTACCACATTTACTATATTTCTTCTTATATTTTAACATCCATGGAGATATAAAGTATTATGTACAGTGTGCTACTTCTGTGTGTATATATAGTATATTCCACTCCCCCATCCCTTTATGAACAAGGTACTTCCCTAAAATCAAGTTTTTTAGAGTATAATTTACATACCCCTTTTAGTGTAGTTTTACAAATGCACAGTCGTCACTCATAGAACAGTTCCATCCCCCCCAAAAATACCCTCATGCCCTGTTACACCAACCACTCCCCCCATCTGCAGGCCCTGGCAACCACTGATCCGTTTTCTTTCCCTGTAGTTTTGCATTTTTCAGAATGTAATATATGTAATATATGATATATGTAATATATGATATATATAATATTTGTAATATATGGTATGTCACGATATTTTTCCCTCTTCTAGAAAAAAGAATAAATTATGAACACTGTTCCTAAAGCAAGGTACTACAAGTTTCTGTGTCCCTTCCCACAGCTGGGAGAAAATATTTTTGAATCAAATATCTAATAAAGGATCTGTATTCAGAATATATTTTTAAAATTCCCTAAACCCAATAATAAGAAATAAGAAAACAAACCCCATTTATTTTTTAAAGATTTAATGATTTAGTTTAGAGAGAGAGAGAGAGAGGATCTCAAGCAGACTCTCCGCTGAGCATGGAGCCCAACTCGGGGCTTGATCCCAGGACCCTGAGATAATGACCTGAGGCGAAACCAAGAGTCAAACGCTCAACTAACTGAGCCACCTAGGTGCATACCAAAACAAACCCCATTTAAACATGGGCAAAAGATTTGAATAAACACTTCACCAAAGAAGACAGACAATAGAAAATAAGGGGCGCCTGGGTGGCTCAGTCGGTTGGGCGTCTGCCTTTGGCTCAGGTCATAATCCCCGTGTCCTGGGATCAAGCCCCGCATTGGGCTCTGTGCTTGGCAGGGAGCCTGCTTCTCCCTCTCCCTCTGCCTGCCTGCCTGCCTGTCTGCCTACTTGTGATCTCTCTCTCTCTCTATCAAGTAAATAAATAAAATCTTAAAAAAAAAAAGTTCATAAAAAGATGTTCAGCATCATTGTAATTAGAGAAATTCAAATTAAAACTATAATTCAAATTAAAACTACTTCATACCTATTAAAATGTCTATAATTAAAAAGACTGACCATAGCAAGTTTGGTAAGAATGTGGAGAAAATAGAACACTTATACACTTCTTATCAGAAAGTAAAATTACAACTACTTTTAAAAACAGTTCGGAAGTTTCTTACAAAGTTAAATATGCAACCATAATATTATCCAGCCATTCTACCCAGATATTTACCCAGGAGAAGTGAAAGCATATGTCTACAAATAGACTTATACATGAATATTCATATGCAGCTTTATTTATAATAGCCGAAAACTGGAAACAGCTCATATATCAACATTTGGTTGATGCTAAGATCAACAATTGAACAGATAAAGTGTGGTACGTCCATACAATGGAATACTACTCAGCAATAAAAATGAATGAACAATTGATATACAGAACAACATGAAAGAATTTCAAAATAATTGTGTTGAATGAAATTTATAATAGAAAGCAGATGAGGGCAGGAGCACCTGGGTGGCTTAGTCAGTTAAGTGATGGACTCTAGATTTCAGCTCAAGTCATGATCTCAGGGTTGTGAGATGGAGCCCCGCATTCAGCTCCGCATTCAGCGGGGAGTCTGCTTGAGATTCTCCCTCTGCCCCACCCCCTGCTTGTGTGTGCACAGGTGCACACTCTCTCTCTCTCTCAAATAAATACATAAATCTTAAAGAAAAAAAAAAAAGAAAGAAAGAAAGGAGATCAAGACTGCCTGGCTGGCTCAGTTGATGGAGCATGTAACTTTTGATCTCGGGGTTGTGAGTACAAGGCCCACATTGGGTGTAGAGATTACTTAAAAATAAAATCTTGGGGCGCCTGGGTGGCTCAGTCGGTTAAGCGACTGCCTTCGGCTCAGGTCATGATCCTGGAGTCCCAGGATCGAGTCCCACATCGGGCTCCCTGCTCAGTGGGGAATCTGCTTCTCCCTCTGACCCTCTTCCCTCTCATGCTCTCTCTCATTCTCTCTCTCGCAAATAAATAAAACCTTAAAAATAAAATAAAATAAAATAAATAAATAAAATCTTGAAAAAAAAGAAAACAGATCAGTTGCCTGAAGAAGGGTGGGAGGAATGAGAGGGAGTAAACTGAGTATGAGGAAACTTTGGGTGATAAGTATGTTCATTATCTTAATTATAATGGTTTCAGGGGTGTGTAAATATGTCAAAACATCAAATTGTACACTTTAAATATATCTACTTTATTGTATGTCACTTCTCCTAAATAAAGCTATTGAAAATGTGTTTCAAAGTATTTTTTATGATTTTACATGTAAAAAATACTTTCTAAAAGAGTACTAAGAAAAAAGAGTCAGTCTTCAGTGCATGTGTACTCCTGGGTGATTAATACTTACTGCATACGTATTAGTCCAATGCTTTACCACTTCTTGGGACCGGAAATGCATTTCTTTCTTTGCCTTTCTTTCTGCACGAAGACATGCCGCTTCTCTTGTCAAACTGTCAAGGCTATCTTGAATCCTTTTCCACTCATTGTGTGGAATTATGGTAACCTGCTGGAGATCTACCTTGCTAGGTAGAAGAGGTGGATAGAGAGCTTGATCTTCTTCAGAGTTCTTTATTTCTAATAAATTTTTAAAAATGAATATTAAAGACTTTCAAAAGTTTAAATATTTTTCCTCAGACATTTCTATATTGCCATGATGTCTGGAAATTGTTTTAAATAATAATTTTATTCTTGTTATTTTAAGAACACTGAGATTAAGTGCAAAGTATATAAGAACTTGACATCAAAAGACAGATTTGAGTCTTTCCTTGGTCATTTCCTTACTCTGTAAACTTAGGCAAGTCATTTAACTTTTTGGAGACTCAGTATCAACATCTTTAAAGTTGAGATCAATAATACCTTCTGGTTATTAAAACATCGTTATTAAACATTGTTGTTTTAAACAAATGTTGTTATTAAAACTTTTTTTTCAGGGGCTCCTGGGTGGCTCAGTCGGTTAAGCGTCTGCCTTTGGCTCAGGTCATGATCCCAGGGTCCTGGGATCGAGCCCTGCATCAGGCTCCCTGCTCGACCAGGAGCCTGCTTCTCCCCTCTCCCTCTGCCCGCCCTCCCCTCCCCACCCCCGCTTGTGATCTCTCTGTGTCAAATAAAAAATCTTTTTTAAAAAAACCCCATTTTTTTCAAAATTGACCAAGTAGCAGTCTATAAATGGAAATTTGGGGGATGTTCATCTTTAGAAGTTGTAGACATCATCATTGATTCTATTCAACCCCTTCCTAATTGAGTAGCAACAATGTAATTTGGAGAACTAACTACAGTCTCAGGGTGGGCCTCATTAGTTTAAGAATACTTGCATCTCCTTTGCCAATAATTATTTCTGTAATAAGAAAACAAAAGGAAAAGAAATTTGAGACTTTTAGGAAAGTTCTTTCTTGTTCTTCTGGGAGAGACATTTGAGAGTGACTCTTAAACTAGATATGAACAAGGAAGCATGAAGAACAGATAGGTAACCATCCTATGGCCACAAAAGGAAGTAGCCTTACAATGAAGCTATTACTGTGAACCACAAAGGAAAAACAAAGGAGGAACGTGGGGCAATGAGGATCTCATTATGATGCCAAATCAATCAGACCTGAAGCCTGGAGTTCCTGTTTCATGAGCAAATAAATTTCCTTATTTTTAAATATGATTGAGCTGGGTATTCTATATATGAATTAAAAAGCATCCTAAATGAACATACCACATATGAACTATGTAAATCTAGACAAAATTATTTAATTCTCTAATTCCTTAATTGCAAAATGGAGATATTAATAGGACCTATTTTATGTGGTTGGTGTGAGAATTAAATTAAGTTATATATGTAAAAAATTTAGAATACAGTGTGGCACACAATATGTTCTCAATATATATTAGCTATTATTATGTTTACTATTTTTATTATAAGAGGAATGAAACAGACATACAGAGAAAAGCAGGAGCAAGAAATCATATGACTTCAGAAAGAGATAAAGATACTGAGAGAAAAGCTGCCAGGATCAATTAGAGTCTCCTTGGGGTTTGAATTAAGGTTGATGGGATTGAGAAATTGGTTGCTAAAGTAAAGTGTGAGTTTAGAACCATAGGTACCATCTTGCCTATCACATACCAAGTATCCGCCTACACAATAAAGCTACTACACAAAGCTGGGAAGTAGAATAGTGTCCTGGATCAAATTATATCTAAATTCCCAGCTATGTGAGCCCAAATAGTCCCCTTTTGTTTTAACTATTATGAGTTTGATTAGTCACTTGTAACCAAAGAGTCCTGACAAATACATCCTTGTAACAAATTTCCTTTGTTTTGCCTAAACTGTCTCAACTTGATTTGTGCTACTTACAATTAAAGGCTAACTAAACAAAGGCTACTAGGTTAAACCATCTACCTTTTGATTAACATATTGTTAAGCATATTGATATCTTTTTCTTGTGACAACTTTTAAGATCTACTCCCTTAGCAAGTTTCAATTATGCAATATGGTATTATTAACTATAGTCACCATGCTGTACATTACATCCCCAGGACTTATTTTATAACTGCAAATTTGTACCTTTTGACTTCCTTCACCATTTCTCCCACTGCCCACCTCCTGCCTCTGGCAACCACCAATCTGCTCTCTGTTATCTATGAGCTTGGTTTTTTGGGGGGGTTTGTGGAGTTTTTTGTTTGTTTTTTATGTTTCTCATATATAAGTGACATCATACAGTATTTGTCTTTCTCTGTCTGATTTATTGCCCTCAAAGTCCATGTTACTGCAAATGGCAAGATTTTATTCTTTTCTGTGTCTAAATAATATTTTTGTACATATAAACCATATTTTCTTTACCTATTCACCCATCAGTAGACACTTAGGTTGTTTCCATATCCTGACTTGTATAAATAATACTGCAATGCACATGGAGGTGCAGATATCTCTCTGAATTAGTGTCCTCATTTTCTTTGGGTAAGTACCAAGAAGTGGAACTCCTGGATCATATGGTAATTCTATTTGTAATTTTTTAAAAGATTTTATTTATTTATCTGAGAGAGACACAGCGAGAGAGGGAACACAAGCAGGGGGAGTGTGAGAGGGAGAAGCAGGCTTCCCGCCGAGCAGGGAGCCCGATGCGTGGCTCGATCCCAGGACCCCGGGATCATGACCTGAGCCGAAGGCAGATGCTTAATGACTGAGCCACCCAGGCGCCGCTACAGCTAAACCAGGTTTATGATTGCCCTAAAAATACTAGATTTTCAAAAAAATTTTACTGTATATTTAGTTTGTTAGAATTCTTAGAAGAAGATTCTTTGAACTGGTGAGAAACCCACCTGATGAAGAATGGGAGAACAAAATTCCAGCCAGTGGGAAAAACCTATGAGAAGGCCCTGAGGCAAGCAAAGGTTTGACAGGTGCTTAAGGCCTGGGAGATCGGTATGATAGAAGTAGAATAAGTGAAGGGAAGGAGTGGTAGGAAAGGAGGTTGACAAGATGAGGCCAGATCACACAAGGCTTTGCGGGAGATGGTCATTTCCATTTTCTTTTAAATGAACGGAATGCCACTGAAAAGTTTTAGGTGGGAGAATAAAATGATCAATTTTTATTTTAATAAAATCTCTCTGGATGATGAAAGGAAAAGGACTTAGGAGGAGAGAACAGGAGGCCAGTTAAGGGGTTGATGCAATAATCCATGGGACATGAAGGTGGCCTGGACTAAGATGACAGCAGTAATTTTAAGATTCATTTTGGAAAAAAAATCCAACATCAATTGCTGATAAGATTTGTTGTGGAAAATAAAGGAACATGAAGAATTGAGGTGTATTCCTAGGTTTCTGATTTGAACAACTGAGTGGATAAGGATGCCACTAGAAAGTCCACTGTGAGGGTGGAGAATCAAAATTTTATTTCATATTACACATTTTAGACTTTTTATATCTATGAGACTTCCAAATGGAGATGTCTTAAAGGCAGTTGGATGTGTGAAGCTGGGACTCAAAGGAGTGGTCTGAACTAGAGTTAAAAATGTGGAAGTTATTAGATTTAAGATGGTTTTTTAATCGTTAGAATGGATGAAGATCACTTAAGCCCTCATCTCTCTCTCTGCTTTTTCTCTAGATGATCTTATCCAGGGGGAAGTGATGCAAACTATCCTACGATGATTTTTCCTTCTGAGAAGCTGATGAGATTAACAGTAACTAAGTGAGCTCTTCTTAAGCAAGGTCTATTGGCCCCTTTCCGGAGAAATGCTTACCTATCAATAGAAGGAAATAGAATTATATGCAGTATAATAATCTACAGATACTGTTAAATTTCTTTTCAATAATTATGTTTAAGATTTTTTTTTTTAAAGATTTTATTTATTTGAGAGAGAGAGAGAATGAGAGAGAGCACATGAGAGGGGGGAGGGTCAGAGGGAGAAGCAGACTCCCCGCGGAGCAGGGAGCCCGATGCGGGACTCGATCC